GTCTTAAAAGTGTTTCAAAACTGGTTTTTCTAGTTTCTGTTGCAACCAATGCCCTCATAGGATCTCTTTTCAATCCCCTTTTTCCTTTGCACACACCTTGTTTAAGCAGGAAGAGCTTAATTTAAGCTGTAATCTTTCATCAGAATAAACCTTAGACTGTTTTCAAAACACTGGTGCTCCTCTCCCTCCTCAGTTTGACAGGGCCTAGCAGCTTATTGCTTAAAGCTGACTGATGCCTAGTAAATGTGCTATTTCACCAGCCCACCTCAGCAGGGTGACACTCCTGTAATTTCCCAACATTGCACCAGTTTAGGTCACCTTTTTCTCAAGAACAGAGAGTAGAGCTCCCATGTGCAGGGGCTTTAGCATCCTTTGCCAACTCCCACTGGGAACTTATAGTAATGGCTGAAGGCAGGACAGTCTGGGCTCTGCCTTTGGGTTGAGGTTGTTTAGTGATGCTTTCTATTGCAAAGGCTTGCCGTCAGCTGAGCGTTCATCTCTCTGTATTTAGAACACGGTGTGCCTTAGAGTTCTCAGGCAAAGCTAAGCCTTACTGCTCTAGTGACAAGTTCCTGAGATAGGATCTACCTGCTGCCTTTATTGCCCAAGCACAAATTGCCTGTGGTTAAATATTTGATAATTTAAGATGCAGGTGGCTGCTAGGGGAGTTAATGTAAGAAGCAGCAATACTGATGATATACCAACTGAGTTCAAAGGGATCTAAAAGGAGCTGGTTAAACTAGACAAGTACACAGATTTTGATCGCTACCACTTGAATTCCAGCAGTTTATTTTGTGGGACAAATTACATTGATTTGTATCTATTGTTGTTGAATTGATTAATTTTAAGTAGGAATCACCAAATACTAACCTGTCCTTGAGTGTTATATTTTCCCTTTTATCACAAAAACAGGTATGTTCTTTTGTAGGTGGGTGGGGAAGGTGGGGAAGGGAGGAGTGGAGAAATGCATTATGTAATTTTGAAGCTTTTTCTTTTTAAATTTCTATGCCAAAAGGTTAGCCATAGTCATGTCTTCTGTATTCAACTTCACCACAGGAAGAAGGCAACAGAAAGGAAAAAAGTAAACTCTAACCTAAGTCACAATTATTAATACAGATTTTTTACATTGAAAAAGACCATGCCCAGAATGTTGTTAAAAATCCTACTAAAGGAACACATTTTTAAACGAAATGTTGTATTTAGTATATTGAGATACAGAGGACATGTAAAGCAGCACAAGTAAAGAACTGTGAAATTGACATGATATATTTTCTCCTTGGTTTCAAGAAATTCTGCTAGTGAGATGGCTTTGCTGTATCTGCAGATCTCCGGCATGCTCAGATACTCACCCTCACACTTCAACTGTCATAGAACCTATTTATCATTTCGACAGAATTTGAAGCTTTTAAACTCCAATCAGTTGAGGGGCAAATGATTTTTTTAGTATGCTCCTGGAAATAGTTTGTGTGGCTTTCAAAATGCACAGAATAAGGTTTACACCTCTATCAAAAAATCCCTTCTGAGTCTACAAAGAAGAGTCAGAGGACTACTAGTATTTCCTTAAAACATAAAGGTATTTTTACATCCTGATTATTTTTTTAAATTATTATTTTATTAGATAAAATTTGAACTGGGAAATTTGCATTTCATGTACAAGATCCATGTATTTTCTCTTCCTGTAAGTTAAAACTATTCAGCAGGATGTGCAGTCTCCGTCTAGTCTTGCAAAGTGCTGCTGTGAGCAAACACTTTCCACCCTGCCAAGCCTTTCTGTCACCAATGCACGTGCACACAGCCACAGAGATTGGCCTGAACTCAGTGATATAAGTCTTCTAGCAAAGAGATTTCTGAAATTGTTAGGAAAAAACTTCATGCATAGTGTTGTGGATGCTGTAGCACTTCTCTTGCTCTTTTGAAGCAGCTTACCCCGTTCAGATCAAGCCTCAGATATCAGTAACCTCTGCTGCAGTGATGCTAGAGGACTGGGAACTTTTGAGTTCTGAGTCTTCAAATAGGAAAAAGTTCTCTTTTTCCCCAAGTGCTGGGAGGGTGGGGAGCTGCCATTGGTAGGCTCAGCAGCAGGGCCGCAGCAGAGGCAGCTGGTGCAGGAGGAGCAGTTCTCACACATTTCCTGTGTCCCTCACACAAATGTCGTCAGCCTGTGGTAGGAGAAGCAGCAGTGAGATCACAGGGCTGCATCTCACGTGGTTCACGGGGGTCCTGAGTTTATAGAAATGGTAAAAAGAGCAGACACAATTTACAAAAGGAAGTAATCTCTAGGGTGTAATGCCCTGCAAGACAAGATTTCTTTTCTTTTGGAATTTTCCACTTCTCATCATGATGTCTTAACACTCCAGACACCAAGCAGTTGTGAGCATTCCCATGGCAAGGCCACTCTGTGGTTTGCCATGTGTCCAGCCTCATTGTTACAAACTCACTGTGTTTTCATTTTCTTTAGTTTTCATTGCCAGACATGGAAAATAGAAACTACCCTTTAGTCAATGTATTTCCTATCCTATTAAAATAAAGAAATCACTGTTGATAGCTCTTGCATTGGTCTTGCTCATACTAATTTCCATTAAAACACCAAGCCTTACCTGATCTCCCTCACACACATGCACAAACCCTCCACCTCCCAATATTAACGTGCTTTAGGAAAGTCCTGGACTGATATCCCAAGACAATGAAGTCTTCTAACCATAGAGCTTGTCACCAGCAACATCATTTTATCTTTTTGGTCACTGTGTCTCAAGTTTAACTGAAAAGAGCACAGATAGGGTTGTAAATGATGTGGACACACTTCCTTAGTGGATCTTGAAGTTTGATCTGGTGATCAGAAATCTAGTAAATACAAAGTAAGAATCTCAGCTGCAACATGATAAGTGACTGTGTGCACTCTAGCTTAGTACAAATACTGGTTCACTTAAACCACATTCCTCTTTCAAGTACCCTTCAGCATCGTTAAACAGTTTGCAAACCCCTGCTTTACTTGCCAGAGCAAGAGAATTATGAGTGTGCATGTAGTTAGTAGTCTCAGCTGGCAAAATGGTAGCTAACATCTGGAGGCAATAAATTCCTGAAACTCAGTGGCCTGATCCCCTACTGGAAATACATTTGTTTTACAGGGAGGGCAGGAGAGAGTCTCCTTACTCTAATATGAAGTGTCACGATCAGAAAAATATGGACCTTTCATTTTCTAAATGACTGCTCAAATTCTAGTGGGAGGTGCCCCTGCCTATGGCAGGAGCCTCGAAACTTTAAAGGTTAACTTTAAAGTTAGATGAACTTTAAGGTCCCTTTCAACCCGAACCATCGTACAGTTCTGTAAAATTAGCTTGTGTTGTCTGCGTTTGTCTGGATGTCAGTGGTTGTCTCCAGCTGTCTGCACTGGATGAATTTCAGCTACTGACTGTCATGTTGGGTCAGTGCCCTGGTGGCCAGCTTGATGCCTTTCCAGGAATCACTAGAGACAGAAGAATTCTTCCCAGAGGGCTCTGAACCTCCCTGCCTGGCATCTCCCTGACTGTATCTTCATATCTGAGTCCTCTTTTGCTTTTACATTTTACAGAAAGCAGCCCATGGAGATGCACCTCATATCTTCAACCCTACTGCCCCTTGTCTGTGGTCAGGGAGAACCCCATCACAGAAGTCAGCTCACCTAGTCAAATTTTGCAACAGAATTCAGCTTATTGCATAATAGTGCAGAAAACCTAATTTCTTCACCAAGCTCTGGCTCTATTCTCCAAATGATTTATGATTTTCATTTTTGTAAGAAGTTTTGTAGCCCTTTATTGCTAGCAAAGGTTTCCTTATTTTGTTATGTGGACCTTAGAAAGGAAAAATTCTGATTCATTAGTACTACATTTCACATATTTTGCTACTACTTGTCATTTTTTAAAACATAAGGCACTGATGCTGTACATTCATACCTTTAAGACTTCTGGAGATCTTTCAAGGTGCAAGATGCAGTAATAATGGCCAACCCTTTCCATTGCATTTCAGACAAATAGTTCACAGCTCTGCAGGAGCTAGAGCTAAGACAATTTGAGTCACTTTTTGCCCTTTCTGTTCTGGACTGTTTTAGATATTATTCTATTTCTGGTATAATTTATACCCTAAGGGTACACCAGCTACAAGGGATTACAGTATTGATGGCCACACTGTTATGAATCTCTCCCGATCCTAATGGACTGCTGTGGAACAGACTGGAAAAGGCATTGCCCACTGAGAGCTTTGTACTGTTTAAACAATACTTAAAATCAGAGTTTTCCCCATACTGGATTCAAGATTTTTATCTTTTACTGTCCTCTGCCACAACAGGATGTTAAATTCATGCATGGAGTTTATCTTGGCTGTGAATTTTAATTGTCTTGTTGAGTTTCTCATTTTTCATTTTCAAAATGTTGTCACACGATTCCAGTATTTCTTCTGGAGACATCCAGGTTGAAGTGAAATAATTTGACTTTCAGATTACAGTCAAAGGAAATTCTGGAGTGCTTAATATAAAAGCTAGGATTTTGTTCTGTCAAATGCTGCAATTTAAATGATCTCTAAATGCTGTGACATTTCCGGGGTAAGCAAACTCTGGAAGGTCAGTGGATCACTGTACACATCAATTTGTACTCCCAGTTCATGTTTTTCATTCCACTAACAGAACTTTTTTCCTGCAGAGCTGCTAATGCTTGAAAAATACTATGGAGCCATTTATTTTGTCTTTCCACTTACATTTTGAATGTATTTGTCTTAAAAACTTTAATGAGATGCTGTGTTTGTTAAACTTCACTTCTTCCACTTTATTGAATAAAATTAGATACAGAACCCTCAGATGAATTCTGTGGAGTAGAGGGTCGTCATTGTCACAACATCAGGACAGCTGACAATTTTCTTTGCTGCTTGTGTGTTTATATGTGATGGTAAGATGGCTTATATTTACTGACTTGTGAGACCTGCCTTTTTATGTGTGTTTGCGTGTGTGTCTGTGTGTGTGTGTGTGTTCACAGCTCACACAGGTAGACTCCAGGGCTGTACATCTGGGTGCTGTCCTTATCCGTGGCCTTACGACTTTGCTCATGGCCAACAGTGCCTGTGGCTTTCCATTCAGGATGGATGATCTGATGCCTTGGGCAGTGTTTGATGGAAAACTTTTTCAAGAAAAATACCAGAAGGCACACCGAGGTTGCTCTGTGGAAGAACTTTTGGAAGGCAATGTAAGTGATCACTTCTTTTTAGTTCTGCATTCTTTGTAAAAATGTACCTGTCCACTTTGTTGTTTTTGTATTCGTGTTTACACTTTTCCCCTTTCTATTTTTCTTCTCTTTCTTATTCCTTTTTCATTCTCTCCACAAAAAAAAAAAAAATTAAAAAGAGTAGAAAAACAGCTTATAAAGGAAGCTGCAATTTTACCTTTATTTTTGTTCCCACTCCTCAGAAAATAATAGAAGGAAAATAGTTGTCAGTTTCAAAAATGAAAATGCCCACAATAGTTTTCTAGTACTGAGATATTAATGAAACCTTTCTCCCATAAGATTTTAAGCAACATATTAAGAACACCTTTAAAAAAAGGTGTTTAAGACTGATATTTTTAAAGGAACCTAAATTTTGAGATGAAGGTTTGGCAAATTTGAAGAGGAGCTGCAAATCAGAAGAAGGTATATTCTTTTAGAATAGGTAAATATGGGTATTTATTTTAGAATCTCACCAAGTACCTTCCTGTGACTCTAGTTACTTATTTAGTTCTCAGTCCCACTTCATCTTACAAATCTGGGGATTTATAAGCTGTGCATGTGTTACCAAAAGAGCAGTGAGATTTCGGACATGTCTGGGCAGGGAGGTCCTGCTGGGCACTCTGCATTGCTCAGGGCAGCGTGTCCAGGCTCAGAGGTCTGCTGGACTTGGTGCCGGACTGTGCTGATGCGCTGCTGAAGCCTCAAACCTGCCTCGTGCCCCACCAGAGAGATTGGGTAGATCTGTATCCATCTGGGAAGGTAGTTCTAAAGACCTTCAATTAATGTGTCTTTCTCAATTAATGTATCTGAAAAGCCTGTATCATTTAATTACTTTTGAAAATCTTACCTTTGAAATGCCTTTACCTGCTACTGAATGTATCACTTGAGGTTAAAGTAATTACAGAGCAAAAAGGTTTCAGTTTTGATTTATGTTAATCTTATGCATCAATGCCAGTTGTTTTTGTATAACTGGTTTTCTTTTGTGATTTTGTGTCCAGCTGCATACCATGCTGGTCTGAAGTGAGGAGTGCAGCTCTTGTGGGTGGGTGGAATGAGCATGTTTTTAGCATGAAGGAGGAGAATAATCCTTTCCATATGCATTCAATCCTATGATTAGGACCATAACCTCTATCCAAATCTTGTGGTTCCTATTAATTGGTCTGTTGATTTCAGTAGATTTTGGATTGGGCTAATGGTTCATTCAGGAATTTCATGCAGGACTTTTACAAAACAATAGAGGGTTTAAAGAATAAATGGGAAAATGTTAAAGTATCCAAAATGAAAATGATACTTGTTTTCCTCTTGGGTAGAATTCAGGTTAGTGGGTAACTTTAACAATAAAAATTTAAATCTGTACAACTTTTATATTAATCTATAGGTATTTTAAAATTTATTGTGTAGTATGTTTTAGCTCACATTTTAAAATCTTGTGTTAGTGTTGGAGTTCTATTTTATTCTGTTTTATAATGAAGATGAAGAAAGATCTTACTTTCTTAGAACAGAGTTAGAAATATGCTTGATCAACTGAAATATCTGGCTAGGGTTTTTAAAAGCCTGATGCTCTGTTTTAAACAAACCCCAGATAAACTGTTCTGTTGTGAGGAAAAATGCTCTGGCTATGTGAACTTTCTGAGTAGTTTAAATACCTTTTACTTTTTTAGGTACAATTTTATGGTACATATATGGCAGAGATATGTACCCAGACTAATAAAATAGCTTTCCAGCTTATCAGTTTGAGGCAAGAATCTGTTTTGGGGAGAATTGCCAAGAGATGCCAGTTTAGTTGGGAACACTGGCAAGGCAACAAGTATATGTGATTGGTTTTTCTTCTTATTATAAGTTCAACTTTAATAAATAAAAATGGTACTTAGTTCCTGGCAGAGCTTAATATTCTGCTGGAAGCCAATATCTTTCAGCACTCATTTGTTAACAATCTAAACTTGAGCACCACAAATCTAATGTGGTGATAGTGACAGTATTGTAGTCAGAAAAGAAGTTATTCTACTTTGTATGTTTTGTTATGGAAAAGAAAAATAATAGGAAAAAGTAATTCCTTTGGTTGTTCAGTGCTTGTTTCCTAACTTCTGGGGTAATTTCTCTATTATCTGGACAGTTACATTACTTCAGGGACTTGAGGCAATCTCAGAATCAGTATTGTTTTGAATATGATAGGCTTAAATACAGTTAATAGGTTTCTGACAATTACAGTGGAAATACAATCCTGGTTAAATATTTACATGTATATAAAAAATTTTGAACTTCTTAGGGTTTGCTTCCTACAGATTCTTATACCAAAAGAAGAAAATGTGTACATTAAATACAATTGATATTTTTGTGGGCAAGTTTTTGTGTAGCTCAGCTCTTTGTAGCCTAGCAGCTGTTAAAGATAAAAAAATGGACAGCTTCTGATAAGAATAAAAATAGAGCCATCTTGGTTTTTTACAAAATTATACTAAGCTCTTATTATGCTAGTTCTATTTTTCAAAACTGTAATCATATTAGTTTGTTTATCCACACAGAAAATTGGCTATAATAGTCTCATAAAGAAGTGAGGCAATGATATTATCACTTTATTAGCCTTTTTATTGTGCTTCTCACTAATGAGTATGTTCATGGTCAATTTTTTTAAATTAAAACCAAATTACATCATGGGTTCAGCATAATTGATATGTTTTGTTCTTTTCTGATCTCACTTTTCATCCATCCTCCACACATTCTGAATTTATTCTCCCAGGAATAAAATGAAAGGTTTTTCTCTGTGTTCTTCATGGGCTGGACCCAGTTTGTGTGGTAAAACAAAATTTTAAAAAAATCTGTGTGTTTTAGTTAAGTCTCTCTGAAGATGTTTGTTAACTTAAGAAATGTATTAGGGAAATTCTCAGCAGGATTCATTCAGGGAGTCAGACTCTACCTTTAATTTAAGAAACCTCTCTAGTTACTGCAGTCTTGCTGCCTATTAGATCTTTTTAGCTTATCCTGTCATCTTCAAAAGGAAATGTCATCCTGTAAAAATCAGTTCAATTTTATGAAAATAACAAATTGTGCTATTGTTCTAAAATCTCTCTTCTCCTGATTCTCTTAATTGTGTAGTAAATCCCACATGCCCAGTACCAGTCAGGAAAAAAAGAAATACATTCTAAGATCTGTCACTTTTTCAAAGCTCACAGAAATCAGAGAAAGTTAAAGGATGTATCATCATCACATCTCTCAGTATTGCATCCTTAACTAGCTTCAGCTTGTCCTTTTGACAAGTAGATTTTTTCATCACACCACAAGGTAAACATTTGAATTTAATTCCCCCATTTCTTTTTAGAGTTAGTTATGCTTTATCAGTCAGGAGTTGGGCAAGTTCTGTTTGTAATGTTTGAGATTAAGAGACTGATTCTAACTGGTGTATTTTCCATGAGTTCATCAGTCCTTATCTGGAGGTTTTAACCATCTCTGCCTGTGGTATTGCAGATGGAAGTCTAGTTAAGTGAGAAAGGGGAAAGCATTTCTTCTGCACCCCTGCTCATCTCTCCAGGTATCCGCATTCAATATTAAATGTTCAAACTTTATTTCATGTAAAAGCGTGAACCAGCTATCAGCTTCATGCATGCACAAGTGTGGCTAAGACAAGTCTTATAGTTGTGTATGTGTTTAATTTGTGCTGCACCTGAAGAAAGAAGAGCAGAAGAGTAATTGATTTTAACTGTGTTTTCTGCAGGAGTCTTTGTACACACCCTTCCAGAATCTGAAATCTCTCATTTGCAAGTTTTGCATGGCAAAGAACAGAACAATACAGAGCAGACCAAGAGGAAATGGATTTAACACAGGTTGGCATTGTGTGAATTTTATCAATAAAGTTCATATATAGATGAGCTAAATTATCCTTCAACAGCAGCAGCAATTACATAGGCAGCCCATCAAGCTAAGTAAATTTTAAGTTCTTTCTCCAAGAAGCAATTAATAGATCTAAGAAAATATTAGATCTATTGCTCTTTTTAGCGATTTATGTGAATTTGATTACCCAAGTTTATATAGAATAATATTTCCATCTAGGTACATAGCTAGTGAGGTATATGCAATAAGTATCATTAATTGACAGAAACACCACTATTTATTCAGTGACTAAAGATATTTTTGTAGGAGAAATTAAATGGCCCAGCTTTTTCTTTCAATCCCTCAGGGGAGCTATTTAACATTGATAGTTAAAGGTTGGAATGAGGCATTGAAGATTAAATACTTCTTATTTCATTTGCTGATATATTTCAAAATAGAAGAGAGCTTTTGGGCAATTTGAAAAACTTGCTTAAGATCTTGCTCTTTCCTCCCAACTTTATGGCTCAGTTTGCAAAATTGTTTTCCCTACCTGAGCTGCCTGACTTTTGGGGTAAAAAACATCTAAACATATAAAAAACATCTAAAAGGTTTTTAACATCAAGATCAGCTTGAATGTTGAGGCTTTGAGACTTTGAAATAATTTACACTGAATCTCAGTGTTTATGCTCATATTATATTTATTATCTGCTTAATACGTGATCAGTTATAATGTCTGTGAGGATAAAAAATTACCCCTTTGGAATTCCTTGAGCAAATTACAACAGACAGAATGATTTTCTGCTGGTTCAGTACGTTGCATTATGTGGCAGCAATACTTCTGATGTGGGTCTACAACAAACTCATGCTGGACACTCAAAATTGAGGATATCTGTTGGTGATTTATAATACCAGACCTTGGTAGCATCTGCTTTTCCTTGAGAGCTATATTTAACCATTTTAATTATGATTTGTGATTCCAATTTGGAGAGAGAATTCTGTTTGTTTTAATGACTGCAGTCTCCAAATCTGTGTCATAAAATTTTGATCTGGTTTCTAAATGCACTTGTTAGCAGCTTGTAATCATGATGTGCATAGATGGAAATGAGGACAAGAACCATTCTTGTTAGGCTGACTTTAACTTGGAAAGATCGTAATTGTGCTTGAGTATTTTGGCACAAAACTAAGAAATACTGTTTCCTGAAAAAGAATACACTGTCTCTCTTTTTCTCCATTTAAACTTGCATATTGTCAGAGTTGCTTAGTGAATACTGTTTTTCAGGAAGAGAACAAAGAGATTTTAATCCCAGGTTACAACAGCCACACAGAAGTCATTTTGTTTCTCCATATCATAACCAGATGAGGGAGTTCACACAAAGACATCTGCAATCCCAAGGTAAAAAATGGGTTTGGAATTGTCCCTATCACCAGTATAACAGCTCTGTGTCTACCTGCAGTTCATGTTTATGTGTGCAGTAACCCTGCAGCAGTCAGCAATAAAACTTGCACTGATGCTTTAAGTTTTAGCTTTTATATTTTTCAGATTCTGTGCTGCTTTAGTGTGCTGCTTTAGTCCTGAGCTTCATCTTAAGACTTGATAAGCTCTCTTCACAGAATAGGTAGACAGAACAAGTCCTTTTCTAGCTTGGGACCAAGGACAATCCATACTAGTTTTGGGCCCAAGACCATAAACAATGGTGGACTGAAGAGAGAAAACAAGAAGGATGGGACTTCATAACCTAAAGCTGTTAACTAAATTGTCCTAAAGCTGGGCAATTAACTCCAATATGCTAACGGATCAAAACTTAAAAAAGTGTGAGACCCTGTGACTGGTCATCCATTTTGGGTTCATCTTGGGTGTAGCCCTTGGGCTCTTGTGCTTCCCAAGGTGTATCTATTGAGACTTTTTAATAAATACCTACTTCATTCTTTAACTCTGTCTAGCCTCTGTTCTAGGTCAGCCTTCACAAGGCATCAGTATCAGTTACACAGTTGTGTATTGTCCCTTGCGAAAACCAACCCTGCAGGGTGAGGTGGAGTGTAGTATTGTAATCTGCAGTCATCTTCTACTCACAGTGTTCTGGGAAATAAGCTTTCATGTGGTATTTGTAATTTTCATGCTTGGTCTCAGCTGAACTGTGTTTAAAATTGTAACAGTTCTAAAACAAATTGGCACAGCTGCACAGAACTGTGTCTGAAGTCTTTAGCTGCAGATCTTCATTCATACTTCAACAAAACCCTAAAGCATATGAATAAAGTTAAACACATTCTTAGGTGGTTTTCTAGATCAGCGTCCCTGCTTCCAGGTCACTGCCTAAGTGATACAAATGCAAGTTTTGTCTTGCCTTGGCATTTATCTTAAGTCATTCACCAGCCTCACTTCTTGAAAAGAACAGACATTTCAGTGAAACACCACAGTGGATAGCACTGTTGAGCTGACTTAATTTCAGTTTTACTCATTACTGTGAGTTGAAGCATATACACATAGATTAAAGAAAATAAGCAAAGGAAGAGAGGTGTCTAAGAAACATAAATTATTTTATTAAGTCTGCAGAGCCTGAATTACTTTTATGTTTCCAGGTGAGGTTTTCAAATAAGATCGCTGATATGATTAGGAAAGATAAATAATAAATAGATACAGTGAATATTTTAATGTGTTTCAGCTGCCACTGTTGAATGCTTCAGACTAAGATAATATCATTTGATTCACAAATAATATTCTTTGATCCTCTATGTAAAATATAAAGCTAAAATATAGAGTATGTAGGCTGACCATAAGCAAAACCCAAACTGGTCATTGTTACCAGTTCTTGACCATGGGAAGAAACCTGATTATTCAGGGGTCAGAAAATCTCTGACCAGCTCCAGAGATCTTATGGCTAGGTGTATTCCACAAAGTATGTTCCACAGTAACTGTGCTGCTGTGTTATAAATGTCTTTCAGTAGCGTTAATTAAACATCTTGGCTTCTTTTACACTATCCCTATTTTTTACCCTCAGGACACTCTTAAAACATGATCCCATAACTGCTGTTAAATTGCCTGTGTTATAAGTAAAACAGGTTTATTGGAAAAATACATCTGTCCTTATAAAAGAACCCTGCAATGTTTTAGAGCTCCTTTTAAAGTGATCTGCCAACATGACTCATTTTGGCAAAATTATTTTCCTAAGTTTGCTAATATTAGCACAGTTATTTGGGTTACTTCTCTACGTAGCTGTTGTCTGTTATATGTGTGTCTCAGCAAAGAGAAAGAAAAAAAAGAACAAAAAAAGTAGTCATTTTCTGTTCATGGTAGCTTATGTGATAAAACTCCCTAGTAATAATACTCATATCTGTCTATCCCATCTTCTATGTACCTACCCACTGTTATGGCTCCTGCTGTTGCATATCATACATAAATCATTGGATTAAATGCAGTAAAAAGTAATGGAACAGTAACCATAGGATCCATATCTTCTGTATCAGGAGTGTATATAATGATTAGGCAGCCTTTGCTGTCTCTTATCAGTTAATGTTTAAGAATTCTGTGACAATGTCTCAGCTTCACCAGTGGAGGAAAGAGTGCCTCCACCAAAAAGCATCAGCCTGAGAAGCAGTGGCATTTCTCTGAGAGGATGACTTGAATCCCCTCAGGCAGAACAAGAACTGGACCCAGGCATCCTTCATGATATGGTCAATAGTAGCTACCCAGCTGCTGTAATAAGCAGCTCATCGTCTAACTGTATTTTGAGTGCAGGGAATTCAACTGTGGCTTTTTTTGGTGTTTTGGGAAGGTTGTGGGATTTTTTGTTTGATTTTATTCATTTAACTTCGCTCCATAAATTTCTTGGCTGTGTGTTACAAATGGATAAAAGCACATCTGTGTTACTCAGAGCTGGACATCTAAGCCTCAGGAAGGTAGATTTTCCCTTAATATTTCTTGTTTGATAATTTATGGATTTTAGGTTTGTGGCTGCAACACCACACCACAGCCCATGTACCCTATTGGTAGACAAACTTCATTAATTAGAAGTTAAGACCACTAATACATTGCTTTGCATCACAATGTTAACTCATTCTATAAGAACCTAAAAGTAAACTGAGCATTTAGAACTCTGGAAATCACTGTTATTGTCCATTTCTTCACAGAATATAATTGCATCAAAAGGGTACATTCACTTCAGTCTTAGCACACAGTAAAACACATAATTGCTGATAATACAAGCAGCCCCTCCTTTGCAAGATATTTAGTCAAGTCTTCCACACTGGTGTTGCTTTAAAGCATGCTTCTGATTGATAGGATTTTGGTAGAACTGTTATGCAGATGGGACCTGAGAAAACATTTAATTTACATTGTGAGTACTGCTTTGCTAATAGGGCTCTCTAACTAAGCAGCATAGTGCACAGGCACACTTAAACCAGGATGAAAATATTTGTAAATATAACTTATGTCTGCTTCTAAACAGCATATTATCTTTACCTGAATTCATACAGTCAGATCTACCAGGCACAGATGAGATTCACTATCCCAGCCCATTAACTGGACTAAGTTTAAAAGTTACTGTCACCCAAGAGTTTTAAAAAGAGCCACTATGCACTTTATCCTCCAAGATCTCAGAATACTAGATATAATTATACACCAACTGGACAGGGACATGTATTTTTTTTAAGATATGTATAATTGTCACTTTTCTTGCATGCTATCTTAATAAGCCCTTGTTTTTCCTCCTTTAATGTTCACTGAATGTATTTAATTCCTCTCTTACTCTCTCCAGGTAGAGGATCAGGACATCCACATGGAAGGAGATATCACCTTCCTCCTCGGTAAAGAATTCATGTCTACAAGTGGCAAATGGGATGGTGGAATAATTGCCACTGGAATAATTTTTGTTTATTCAGGCTTTCACCTGTTTTTATGAACTGTGCAGAGTAACTGGGCAGTGTGACTGTGGAGGAAATCACACAAAGCTGAGGCTGTTCAGCAAGTTAATCACTTACCATGTTAGGCCTAAGCTCGTTATGAGACTAGAATCACCAAAACTTAAGGTACAGCTACCTGAGGCACAGTAGCATCCCAGTATAGCTACACTGTTTTGTCCATTTAACAAGGGAAAGTCTGAATTGTTTTTTATAATATTGTGAGATATTACTGAGTGTGAATTTAAGATTTAAACTGTAATTTTTGCATATTTTTGTAATAGTTGTTTATATTACAATACTTTCCTCACTATGAATAATGTGTCATGTCTATGCTGTATTGTGGTTTGTATCTTGATTGTGGATTATATCTGTGTTTTAAGGGTTATATCATTGTTTCTAAAAAAGTTTGAAACATGACATCACTGATGTAAGCATCATCTGCCAGTGAAACAATGTCACTTTCTTGTAAAATGTAACACTTTTTTACAAAGGAAAAAATTGCTTGTACATTTGATACTTTTAGTTAAGCAATTTTTTGTAATTTTTTCAACTGAGGAAAGAATCTATCATGCTCTACTTCTATAATGAATAATACATATAAGAACTCAATATTTCTTTTCTGCCCAGAAGTCTAGAACACTGACCTTCAAAATGAAAAATTGCTGTGTTTCACTCTGTGATTCAGTTTTAGTAATATATGTATTTGTTTAGTTCTAAAATCAAGGGGATGTCAAGAGAGGCTCTTCTTAGTGGTGCCAAGCAATAGGACAAGAGGCAATGGGCAGAAACTGATGCACAGGAAGTTCTACTTGAATATGAGGAAGAAATTCTTCACTGTGAGGGTGACTGAGCATAGGAACTGATTGTCCTGAGAGGTTGTGACGTTCAAGAACCACCTGGCCTCAATCCTCTTCCCCGTGCTCTGGGACCTCTCTGTGACTGAACAGGGAGGTTGGACCAGATAACCCCCTGTGGTTCCTTCCAGTCTGACCCATTCTGTGATTCTGTGATTTTTCAGTTAATGGTGTTCTTAGACCTTATTTCACACAACACAGTGTCTTGATTTGCATTTCAGAAAATGCACTGTCATCATAGGGGTATTCCTGCTTCCTTTTTTAATCAATTTTCCACTGACTGTAATTGTACTATCATTTTTTTATTATCATTTTTATTCTTCCCCTCCAAACCTTTTGAAATAATGTGGTCTGATTTTTATGAAAACTTCTCTGGTTTCAGGGATCTCATGAGGTATAATCGTGTATTTTGAAAGAATGTGATCATGTGCCAGAATCTGTTGGTAATTCCCTCTTCAGGCTTTGGTATGAGAAAAAATATCTGTTGTCCTCAATAAAAAAAGTTAAATACAGTCAGAGTGGGAGTTTTGCTGTGCTAGCTGTGGTATGAATTGTTGGTAATAATTACCCTGATTACTGAAGAATTGATGGCATATCTGTGAGGTTGTTTTTCTTCCTAATGTTAGACCATAAGCAGAAGCTACTTATTATTATTCTTTCCAAGCCAAAAGATTTTTTTTTCCCACCAGGAATAGTAGAGGGAAAGCAGAAGCATGAAGCTGAAACATAGAGGTGCTACTTTCCTGTCTCACTGGACTTAGAATTGTTCACAATTCACAATGCCACAAAGCTTATGGACTCTAGAAATAAATAATATCAGAGAACATGACTGTAAAGGTTCCAGTTTAATAGGGTTCCCTTAATTTGTGGACCACAGGGTTGTTTTGAATGGTTACAGAACAGAGGACAAACAGACGTGGATTTGAAGTGAAGGAATGTATGTTTGTGAAGAAAGCATTCTTGTTCAGCTGTACTGCTTAGTCTTCTCTAGCCTGGATGCTGGGTAGCTGCCTTTCATCAAATATTCACTGAAACTGTGGATTGATTTATTAGCTTTATGTGTTCCCCTTCTGGAAGGGGATCCAGAGGACATTCTATTACATCCATAACTTAGTCAACAGTGACTCAGCAGAAATTGTGACATAGTAATTGTGAGAGCGTGACTGACAGGAGCACATCTATCAGCTTTCCTCTATATGTATCCTTCCTCTCAAATTACTTTGCTCATTTGTGACACCATCACACTGGGAATCTGAATCTGGACTGAAAAAAAACCCCGAAACAATGAGTTAATCATATGATACTGTGGCGCTGCAATTATCAAAACATATAATTTGTGCCTCTTTTATAAAACAGGAGACTACAATTTTAATTGCTCTGCTATCTTAGCAAGTGCTGTGCTGAGATGGAGGGGAAAAGCAGTCCTAAAACTCTACAGAATTTTTTGTGCCATGCTGTCTGAGGAAAATTATAAGGATACCATATTATATTGCAAAAGTGATCTTTAAGTGCTGGGGAGGAAAATCAAAAGTTTACATGTTCACATTTAAACAGTGGCTCCCCATTGGCAGCTAAACTGGGAGACAGGCTAGTATATGCTCCTTCACTTGGAAGTTTGATAGGACATTCCTCTGTAGTGCAGAGCCTCTTTCTCTTAGAGGGCGTCTTCTGATTCTATGGAAGCATGGCCAGCCCAGTAAATACTCAGAAACCTTGGCATGTTTCTGCCATAAAGGCACATGGTCCTTGGGGGCATGGGAATGCATGAGGTTCTGTGAGGCTGCCCTCTTGGGGACACGCTGCTGGCCTGGCAAACTCCTCAGTGCAGCTCATTCAGGGTGGCTGAGGTTGCTCAGGACGGGGCTCAGTGATGGTGACTATTACAAGCACCAGAGTTTCCTGGTGTTCCTGGTGCAGAGGTGACTGACAGCACCATGCCTGCATCCTGGAGGTACTGCCAGGCTCTTCTCGTGGTCCTCAAAGGGGTTTGACTGCACTGCTGGGTGACCTTGGATCCAGCTGGTCAGTGAGGAAGATCTGTGTGAGAGAGCTGTGGGAAGCCTCCTGGGAATCTCACGACATTCTTGACTCAAAAGCAGTGTTTAAACCCAGGTCCTTGCCCTTGGTGCTTGCCTAATCTGCTTTGTAGGAATTCAGTCCCATGCCTGTCTGATTCTGCCTTTGCCTTGATGATTTGACTTCCTTGTGTGACATGGACATCCCTCATCCCCATGGACTTGTCCAGTGATCACAGGACTGTTGTGTGATGCTGGTTACCACCATCAAATCTACTCTGCTGTTCTTCAGGTACTGTGGGACTGCACTCTCAGCACTGAGGTCACTGCCCTACATTGCCCCTCCACTGCTGGCTTGCCTTCCCTTGTGGAGCCAGCCCCCCTTGCTGCTCCATGACAGCTTTAAGACCCTGACAGCACAGGGGGTCAGGCAGTCAGGCTGAAACTACCATAGTACTTGGATAATGTCAAAACAATAGATATGGTGGGCTGAAAACAGCTGGAAAAACTGAAAATGCCTACAAAATAGCCAAGTGTCTTTGTGTATCCCTGCAGAATTAGGACCTTGCTTTCATTGCTTTCCAAAACCTTACAGCTGACAGCCAGACCTTTCTCACCCATAGCCAGGCAGATGGGTACACTGTGTTTCAGCTGTGCCCACCACAAATGTGAAGCTGGTTCAGAACAGAAGCTCATTTGATAAAGAGTATGTTCTTGAAGCTGATTCTTGTAGAGCTTTCTGGCTTGTTCTGTTTTTGGAGCCCTAGGCTGGTTATCAGGCATTAAGTTTAGCCTACAGTTTTACCTAGAAGTATGGCATTGAGAAAACACATGATGAGTTGAAAAGTTGTCTGTAACAGACAAGGGCAGCTGGCAGAGCATTCTGTCTGAGTACTCGCCAGCCTAAATTTATTTAGTGTTACTACAAAATTGGTTTTGCTTGTGCCAGCTGGGAAAATACATCTTTTTTGTATTAAAACCCTTTGACCTTAGAGTCTGGAATTTTTGTTCAGATAAGGAATCCAAACCAGTTACTGACTGTGATGCTGTCCTGGGTGCTGCTCATTGTCTCGGTAGCAGCTATGGTAGTGCACAGCTTAAAACTCACTAACACACCTGAAATCAGAGTGCAGGCAGAACATCAGCTATAGCAATTGCAACCGCGATCTCCTACACCTCTAAAAACTACAAATGCAAATATACAGCACCAAGCCTGGCAGAGTTCAAGGAGAATTTGGACAATGCTCTCAGGCATGTGGTGTGACTTGGGGATGATGCTGGGCAGGGCTAGGGGTTGGACTCGATGATCCAACTGGACATATTCTGTGATTCTGTGAAATACAGAGAGAGGCATTTCTTCAGGGCAAAGAACTGTTCTGAGTGCAGTATTTCAGTCACACAGTGTTGTATTCTGCACTGAGTGTTCATGCTCAACATCAAAATGTATCTTGCCAATAAGCATCACCAAAAGACTCTCTTCTCCTCCGTGATGACATTTGTGATGACTGTTTAGCATTCCTTTGGAGAAGGACTTGATTTGGTGATCAGCACTAACCTGAAAGTTACACAGGCTGGGGAAGCAAGGACAAGACAGAATGCAAGGTATGAGTGCAAACAACCCATCAATTTAGTATTTTGAGGCTTTGCAGTATTTTGAGTCTTTTTGAGTATTTGTCTTTGCATTGATTCTTATTTTCCCAGTTACACATTAGGTCACTTATCAAATGACCTTTTATTATTAGTGGTCCCATAGATAAACAGGGATATATTAAATGCTAATATAGTTAATCTAGGCATGATTTTTTTTATATTAATACATTGATATTTCAAATGTATTAAGCTTCTGTTTTTCACACCAGAAGATACAAGAAATACTAGTCACAGAAACCAATCCTGGATATAAGCTTTCTGAAAGTGCTTGATATCTGCAAGCTTTCTTAATAGAAAACAGTGTGCCCTGTCTCAAAAATTAGATAGCCAAGTCTGTAGCTGGTTTTTGGACTCATATTAAAGAGCAAAACTGTACTGTAAGAGATGTTCTGACATCAGATGTGTTTCCTAAATATGCTTTAGGTGGCTTAAAAACTCTTTAATCAGTGAAGGCAATCACAGTTTTTAGAAAAGTGATGAGAAATTTACATGTCATTTATGGCATTTGAAAAATGTAGGTCAAGGCAACCATTCAGGAGTTACCTTCATCACATTCAGCTTTATTTTAGGTGAGAGGTTGTTTGTTAATAGCAGCAGACCACCAGGCTCTGTATCTACTTCCTGATAACACTTGAATTTTCACTTGTGATCATTATGCAGCTCATCTAAAAGGGATGTAAGTGCATAATGTGCTGCCTTTTGATAATCATCTTTGTCCCCTAGTTTAATTACCCATCAGGTCCTTCAGTCCTTCTGATCTAAATTCTGCTGGAGGGTTTTCAATTCCAGTGATGTCTGAGGCAGGGTGCTGGTGACAAGGCTGAACCTCTGGTAACATAATACACATATAAAAGATCACCACATTTAAACAGGATGATAAGGCTGCTCCCAAACATTTGAACAACTTGCAATACTCCTCTCTTTAACAAAGCCTTCATTTTGTAGGTGTGATCTATTTTCTACTCCACCTTCCCTATGCAGAGGAGGGATTTCATAAAGGAGCAAATAACAGAATTTCAAACAAATCCACTATGAAATTGCATTTCCAAACAGAAGAGGCAGAGCAGCTATACAGCTGATGTACAGAAACACAGAGTATTCAGAAGCTGGCCAGTGCATCTAGACCAAAACTTCTGGGTTTTAAAAACAAATCAGAAACCTTGAGCATATACTGGTTTGGAATACACTTAATGCAGATTTGTTTGTGGTTTCTATTGACTACCTGCCTATCTAGGCTCATCTGTTAACTGTGTGACACCAGTGCAAGTTTAGGCATTGGTTGTGGTTTATGCTTTAAATAAAGATTAGATTTTAATGATTTCCTGAAGTTTTTTTTGAACAAAAGAAATACTAACCTGCAAATTCTGCCTTCTTTTTATTTTGAGGAGGGAATTATTTTACTTATTTGCATTGCTGGTTACTATATTAATTCTTGGCAACAAATAGTGCTGTAAGAAACTTTTGCTCCAAGCAAGGTAAAAAATAGCATCAAAGAAAAAATATTAAGTGCTAACAAGAGCCAGTTTGTATGTCTTAACACTTCCTTGCTGGGAGCAGTAAAGAAATCCCAAATTTGTCACTGTGCATTTGCTTACACTAAGGTGTTACTGCTTAATCACTCCACCATCCCTCTTCCTCATAAACACCCCCATCTGCCTGTAGAAAGAGTCCAGCTTAGCAAGGCTGATTGTTTATGATGTTAAAAAATGGGAAGGGAGCGGGGAGAGGAGAGGGCAAAAAGAAAAAAAGGAAATAAAGCTTTTCTTCTGTCCTTATGATCCAGGAGTGCAGTGTTTCAGTGGTATTTTGACTGTGTAATGCTCACTAGGGGCTACAGCTGGTGCCAGCTCCAGCATCTAGATTTTGAGAGGATGAGTGTTCAGCCTGATGGAGGATAAGATGCCTCTCTGTGTGCTGGTTATGATCTATCCTTTGAGGGGAAATAGTTTCAGTCACAAAACAGTTGTACTTTTAGGTATGTGAGGGTAGCATGTGTGATGCTTCTGTAAGAGACTCAGTAGCATTTTCCTCCCATACAAAAAGTTTTCTTACTCTTTATATGTCTTCAGTAAAATCCCTGAAGGGCCAGAGGGAGGGTCTTTTTTTTTTTTTCCTGAATTCTGTTGGTTTTAAGTTGGGACTACCAGAACAGAA